CCAGTGGACGGCTACACCACTTTCACTCAATATTGGCGAATTCAAATTCGTATGTGGAAGATCTCGGCTATATCTTTTTCGGTCACTTCTAACAAACTCAAGTTTGTTCCATCATATCTTGAGTTTGAGATGGGGTGTTAAAATATATTTAGAAGCAATATATTATATTTATGGTAGTTATTTTATTCAAGAGGTTCGTAGAATTCTTGTCTTATTTAAACGATTTGTATATCACTATAAATATGTACGTATTTTTATGATTGAAATAGAAAATTTCAATTTTATATTCTAACATAAGCTATTGTGTCCTTTAAACCTACATATTCTTGCATGTTTGGCTGATGCTACTGTCGATGTACGTTGCTATAATTTTTTGACTAATAAACCGTGTAGGTAATCATGATTTCATTGAATTTCATTTGAATAATTACTCGTAAACATAGATCTTGGTCTTCCATGGCTTTGCTGGTTTGACATCTTGCTATTGATGTTTTTTTCAAAAAAAAAAAAAAAAAAAAGTGTAGGTTTACTCCAATTGGTAACCATCCACACCTCGCTCATTTGCCACTACTATAGGCACAATAGTTGTTATTGAGGTATATTGATACACAAATTCTATTGAAAAATGGGTTGATGTATCCATTTGGTTTAAACAATTTCATTTATTAATTTTGGAGAGTAAAATATTATGTTGTGTTCCTTTATACAATATTTGATGCATAGTTGTTTATCAGTGGATGAAATTGTTATTCTTTTGTTGTGGTCCTTAATGTCACACAATTTGAATCAAATATTTTTGGGTTTTCCTACAAACACGCAACTCGATCGTTAGTTATCTGTGCTTACGTTATAGGTGATACAAGAGACCCTCCTACTCCAGTTTATGTACATATTTGTCCAAACAAGATAGCCCCCTGGAAGTTGAAGCACATCCATAAAATAGTGGGATGATAGGACAATAACACTGATGACATTCACTCCTCTGATAAGTTATTTATTTTGGATTGATTTGTACAAGCTAAGTAGAAATCTTTTTAGATTTTCATTTATTTTTATTACAACTTTCAATATTTCTAGTATTTTTATTTTACCTTTTTATGATGATTTGTTTAATAAATGTGTTAAGTGATGATGCTATCTAGTTAATTGTTGTATATATATATATATTTATGACGTAGGAATCCGCAGCCGCTATCCAAAAGTACGCACTGAGTAAACCCCCGGCCGAACCTAGTACCCTGCAAACTAGGCCCGACAAGGCAAGTCACACTAGGCGAACCATGCGTGGCAAGTGACTTGAAGGCGTCGGGAGTTTGAACCCGTGACTTCACGATCACAAATCCCCACGCCATCAGGTCATAACTTACAAGACTAATTATTGTATCTTTGTTTCCTGCGAGACTAATTGTTGTATCTTTGTTTCCTACTTTCGAAGAATTAAAGTTTGAATTACTAATTTATTTATTTTCTAAATCTTCAATACTCTCTTCGTCCCATTGAAAGGTTAGCATTTTTCATTTTCGTTCGTCCCAAAACAAGATTACTATTTTCTAATTTAGTAATTGTACTACCTACTTAACATAATAAATGCCATTTCAACTTACAATATATTACACAAATGCCATTACTTTTATATTACACCGTACTAATAGGGGTATTTTTGTCTTTTTTACTACAATCCAATAATATAATACTAATATTTAAAAATCTACGTGTAACAAGCAAACATCACCCTTCCAACGAGACCGAAATATAGTTGACATCCTTATGCAACAAATATTGTGCTTTTATCTAGCTAATCACTATGAAATCCTATTTTTCTAGCTAAAAATATTTTTCTACAAAAATTATATTTGATAGCTAGCTTTAGCTATAAAAATAGGATTTTGTAGTTGAAATTCTTTTTTTCAGCTAAAATGATATTTCTATGAAAATTACTTTATCGTTATAAGCTCTTAACTATTAAATCCAATTTTTTTTAGTAGAGACTTTTTTGCTACAAAATATATTTGTTCTATCAAAAACTCTTTCGTTATAAAAATTATATTTCATTTCTAAAAAGTTTTTAATATAAATTCTATTTTCATAGAAAAAAGATTTTAGCTATGATATTATATTTTTGTAACTAAAATTATTTGGCTAGAAAAATCATACTATTTTCGTCCACTTCTAAAGTACATATTTGTTTTTGACACATGTATTAAGAAATATTATTATTTTAATAATACTTTATAGAATTTGATTGTATAAAAATATGTGCTCTTACTAAAATGCAATTGTATGATTGTAAAAATTGTAAAACTAGGATTGATATTTATTAAAAATATCTATATCTTTTAATTGAACAATCAAAAATAAAAATATTTAAGCATTAGAGGTGGACATAGGAAGTATAATTTGTTATTAAAACTCTATTCGATATGAAATTTTGTTTTCATAATAAGCGTTTTAGTTACAAAATTATATTCTCATAATTAAATCTATTTCATATTTTCATTGTAAAAAATTATTATTCTTTCCAAAAGTCAAGATTTTCGTCAAATATCTTTACCGACACGGTATAGGAGACTAAATTCATTAATTTATTACAAAAGTCTTTTTCTACAAAATTATTACATTTTCTTTAAAAAAATAATAATAATAACTAAATTTTAACTTGTTTGTAATCAAAGAATATGGAATATCTTAAATACTCTTCTTTTAAAAATAAAAATAAAAATTAATCAATCATTCATTTCAAAGTTTGCAAAACTTAAATAAAGGTTGTCTTCATTTTACAAATATTGAAACGAATTATTAATCAATTATTTATTTATTTTGTTAAAAAAAAATCAATTAAGACTTTTCATATATTCTACCTTCGTAACAATTACATAATTAAGTACATATTTATAATCATGAGCTTTGGATGAAAATAATATTTTATACAAATATTAATACAATATAAAATAAGTTTATATGATAAATAAAATATAAATTGTTTATTCATTTCCCGAACAGATAATTCAATTTTTTTTTTGTCTGTCCCAGGAGATTGTTTGTTTATATTTTTAGTAAATTTATTTATTTATTCATCTTAAACATATTTAATTTAAATAAATTTAATTAAATTTTTAACATCTTAGGACTAACTCAAAACTTTATTATTTATATTTCTCTCCTCAATAAACAAATATTTTTATGTACATTTAAAAGTCCCAATTTTTTTTATAAAACTAGTTTAAGTTAATTATATATAAAGAAATTTATTTATTTATATTATATATTTTTACTATCCACAAATAATATTCATATTACATATATATTGAGATATAATATTAAAAATATTTATACACATTCTAAGTTTTTTAATCATATATATATTAATTCATATTTTTAAAATACTAACCATACTACTCATATAAAATAATATCATAATTTACTATTAATAACATACTAATTTACACTACTTAAATAATTGTATTAAAAAACAAATAGATTATTTGTTCCGAGACGGAGGTAGTATAAATAATATTATGCAAATTATTCAAACAAAAATATAAAAATCAAGTATAAAATAAACAAATATGTCATTTTTACATTGTGTTGGTTTGACAAATTTTTCAGGAATTCTACTATTTAATTTTTTTTCTCTAAAATATGAAATCTATTATTTTATATATTAGAATTAATTCTCATAAAATCCCCATTATACTTGGTCCCATTATAAACTATTTCAATCAATTTTGGTCTCACTTTTAACGGAAATTGCTGACTTGGACATAACGAAGGTGACGTGACAGCTGACCTGAAAACTATACGGCCATGTTATTACACAACCATGTATATTTCAGTGTATAATTATACATGGCCATGTATAATTTTACTAGGTCGTGTACATTTTTGTTTTAGTCTAAAATTGTATTTTTTTGCTATATTTTTTTAAAAAATTATTTTGAATTTAAAATAATTGATATAGTTAAAATGGACAAAATCAATAGTAATCATAATACTCCCTCTGTCCCGGAACTAAATATCCATTTGCTTTTTGCACGTAGTTTTAGAAATATTAGTATTTGTTGAGCACAAAAAATGGTGGATAGGTTTTTAGGGAATGGACCTGCCAAGATTAGGTTAAGATTTATTCGAAAAGTCTAGTGGGCTTTTTGAAAGTCCAAGTATGACTGCAATAATTGGGTCGGATGAGCTTAGGGTCGGATGTTAAGGTCAAACCTGGTCGGGTTAATCCCAAAGGTCGGGGGGATGATGAGATTGGACCTGGTCAGGACCAAATAGTTCGGATATTGAAGACGGACCTAGTCGGGACAAATTCCAAGGGTCGGGTGTAAGAAGGTCGGACGGATGATGAGATTGGACTGGGTCGGGACCAAATAGTTCGGATATTGAAGTTGGACCTAGTCGGGACAAATTCCAAGGGTCGGGTGTAAGAAGGTCGGGCATTGAAGTCAGACCTAGTTCAAAGGTCAGGTAGTAAAAATAGCTATCTTACAGGTCGGGTAAAAAAGCAGTCTCTGATAGTGGAGAGTAGCTTCAACTGGCGAGCGGTTTTCAAAGATCGGACGTGGTAGGACGGTTCTCATACGTGTCGATAGAAGATTACTCTTTTGGGGGAGTTAACAACGGTTATGGTGACCGACCAGATAGCGGTTCGAACCGTACCTTCAAGGGGTTTTTTAAGGATTCCGTACTGTACAGAGAAGGGATCTTCAACTGACATCAAATTCAAGAGAATTACTTTTGGGGATCACCATTTTTATTTTCCAGTCTTTTATTTTATTTTTCCTATTTTATTTATGTATTGTACAGTGTTTAGAGATTTCTAATCTCAGGCACTAATTATATCAAATTCGAAGATATTTCCCTATTTTCAGATTTTACTTTTTATTGTTGAAAAAATGCATCAACAATTTGGGACCACAGTGGGAGAAAGGCAAGATTGCTGATCTTACGTCAACGGAGAGTTTCATGCAATTAAGATCCGGCCGAATCGTCGGATCCACATGGCAGGCTCACAGCCTCAATCATCTTCGGCGCCGGTGGGAGAAACAGTTTCACCACCTGTCATGCCAAATACAGGAGAAATGCCACAAACATCTGCTGACTGGGTTTCTTATGTTCAGCAATTGAACAACCAGCATAATTTGGCCATGCAGAATATGTTGCGCGAGCAACAAATGTTGCGGGAGCAACAAAACCTTATGCAAAATACGTTAAATCAGGCGTTATCAAGGGTTACTTTGCAACTCATCCAGACGCCACCAGAACTATCACCATCCAGGTTACAGGCAAATTTTGCGTGGCCCTCATACGTGGACAGCACTTTTCCAAGTGTTACAGCCCTAAGGGTTGACAGAGGGAAGACTTCTCTTACGTACCCGAATAATATTCCGTTGGGTGTTAGGACCGAGCCTACCGACCTCAGGGGGGAAAGATTCGGAGGTCAGGCTCACAATCCCATTCAGGTATTGGATCCAGTCCCACCCAGAGTAGACCCAGAGGACATTGCTCAGGTCTTGAGGGTACATTTTGGAATGAACCCCCAGACGGTCAACAGACCTGCGTACCAGAGGCCATTTCCAGAAAGAATCATCAACGAGCATCCGCTTCCAAGGAATTACAGACCACCCGATTTTCATTCTTTTTCTAGAGAAGATGGGGCGTCAACTATTGAGCATGTAGGACGCTTCACGGCTCAATTAGGGGAAGTAGGCAATAATTCTTTCTATAAATTACAATTGTTCGGGTTATCGCTTACAAGGACCGCTTTTTCATGGTTTGCAAATTTGCCACCCGGGCAGTTGCAAACCTGGGAGAGTCTGGAGGCAGCATTTCATGCAAGATTTTTTAATCCTCTCCCGACAGTCTCACTCACAGATCTTTTAGAGATCCGACAGATGCCAGAAAAGACCGCGTATCAGTTTATTGAACGGATACGACTCATGAAAGGCAGATGCCTGACAATCATCGAGGAAAGTGAAATGACCAATTTGGTGGTCAGGAACATGCATTCCAGACTTCGGGAGGCATTGACAGCCCATGATGTTCAGGACTTGGCTAGTCTGGCCTCCAAAGTAGGGAGATTAGAATATTTGTTTAGAGAAAAAGATCACAACTTTCGTTGGAACAGGGTACAGCAAATGGTTAGTGTTGATACAAAGATTTATTCGCCAGATGAAGGAAATATTATTGAAGAGATGGCAGCTGAAATTGTGAATGGCAAACCGTATGTATGTTCGAAACTAAAGCCATTACCAGGAACAGAGGAGAGGGAGCAGCCGACCTTCGATGTATCCAAGGCCGACGAGATCTTCGATATTCTGTTGGCAGATGGGCAGATTCGCATTCCTAAAGGGCAAAGTTTGGCAACGAAGGAAGAAATAAAGGGGAGGCCATACTGTAAGTGGCATAATTCCTTTACTCATTACACTAACCAATGCACACATTTCCGAAAGGAAGTACAGAAGGCTATTAAAGTAGGGAGATTCAAATATGTAACAATAGGAGTAGAGCATCAGCCCTTCCCTAAAGTAACTACTGCAATGATCTCTTTGCGTTCTTCACAAGTTGTGCAGAGTGATGATGAAGAGGACACCAAACGAAAAGAACGCAAGCCAAAGGAACGGGAATCCAATTAGGAAGTAAAATTCAAAGTTTGTGAGACTAGAGTGGCAGAGAAATGGGACAGAGAAGATGGGTCTTTTAAAGTAGAATTAAAAGATAAAGTCGTGGTACGAGATCAACCAACGCGCAAACCACATCCAGTCCAAGAGAAGTGGAGCCGAAACAGAAAGCCTCTGCCAATTGAACATAGACCCTCGATTCCCAGGTATGAATTGCACACAAATTCGTAATGCTAAACGCAGGTATGTAGCGCGGCATGGAAAGCGGGTAGATAAGGGTAAGGAGAAGAAAGAATCATCACCCAAAAGGAAGAGCTCGAATGACAAGCCTGAGGAGCATAGGCAGACTAGCAAGCCTATCAAGAAGGCCAGATGTTTTCGATGTCAATTCTGCAAATGGATCAATATTGATCCTGAAATAGAAAGTGCAGAGGAAGAGACTCCTGAGATTATTTTTGGATCATTTGCCCCAGAAGAGACAAAAGTTTTGCGCAGCAAGATAGTAAAACTTGATAATGCAGGATTCGAAGTCAGGATGACGGATATGCGATGGTTCGTCGAAGAAGAACCTATTTGGGCAAAGTTCGAGGAGGAGGATGAACCAGAATGGGTAGCGATGGTTGGCAGACCCCCACCTATGGTTTTTCCACCTATACCAGAAGGAGCAATCCCGCATTTAAAACCACTCTATGTTAACGCTCACATATGTGGTAAGCCGGTTAATAAGGTTTTTATTGATAATGGGGCTGTTTTCAATGTCATGCCTCTCAAAACTTTAAGAAAACTGGGCAAAGAGATTGGTGATTTGTCTCCAGTAGACATCGAGATGGCGAGCTTCACAGGACAACCAACCAAACCAGAAGGGATGATGGTGGCACCCATTGAGGTCGGACCAAAGGTGATTTCGACCGTGTTTTTTGTTGTGGATGCCAACACTACCTACTCAGTTTTATTATGGCGAGATTGGATTCACACTTCCAAGTGCGTGCCTTCTTCTCTCCATCAACAGATTATGTTTTGGGAAGGAGATCAGGTTTTTACCATGGAAGCCAGTACAAATCCGTTCGGCTCTATAGAAGGAGTGGAAGAATCGGTTCTCTATACGGAGTATGTACCACCGATTTCACGGACGACTATGGTAGATGAGTATCCCTGGAAGGGATGTAAGCTCACTACGCAGGGTTGTATGTTTCATTAGATACAATCTTCTGTAATATGGCTCTGTTGTTAGCCAAAATAAACTTTTACTTGAAGTTTAAATTATGGAAGAAATAAATAAATATCATAAACTGATTAGGGAGTTTTATTTAAACCAATTAATCGTTAGACTACATAATAGTAAAATTTCCAACAATAATGTTGGTGAAGAAGAAGGTTTTCGCTGGCCTGACCTTTTGGAAAAGACAGAAACTTCTTTGTCAAGTCAGGATCCTTTTATTGAATATAATGTGGGAACCAAACAGATACCCAAGATGGTCAGGGTAAGTGGTTTACTGACAAAAAATCAACAGGAGCGAATGGTAGCGTTGATTCGAGATCACAAGGAATGTCTGGCATGGGAATATTCCGAAATGTCCGGATTGGCGCGCACTTTAATAGAACATAGGTTGCCTATTAAAAAGGGGTTTAAGCCTTACAAGCAACCACCAAGGAGAGTGAGTCCAAAATTGATGCCCCAGATCAAAGAAGAACTTGAGAAGTTACTAAAGGTTGATTTCATTCGTCCATGTCAATATGCAGAATGGTTAGCCAATATCGTTCCGGTAACCAAGAAAATGGAAAGATCCGAATTTGCATTGACTTCAGAGATCTCAATCTCGCCACTCCAAAAGATGAATGTGTCATGCCTATAGCAGACATGTTGATCGATTCTGCGGCGGGACACCGGATTTTGAGTTTAATGGATGGATACGCAGGGTATAACCAAATTGCATTGGCAGAAGAAGATATACCTAAAACTGCATTTAGGTGCCCAGGAGCGTTGGGAATTTTATGAATGGACTGTTATGTCATTCGGTTTAAAGAACGCTGGAGCGACTTACCAACGGGCTATGAACACTATATTTCATGATCTTATTGGGCGGTCAATGGAGGTATATATTGATGATGTGATCATTAAGTCTACGGACTTTGATTCACATTTTGTTGATTTAAAAAATGCTTTTATTCGGATGAAGCAGTACAACCTGAAAATGAACCCAACCAAATGTGCCTTTGGAGTTTCGGCGGGGAATTTCTTGGGGTTTTTAGTATATGAAAAAGGGATAGAAATTGACGCGAACAAAGCCAAAGCTGTTCTAACAATGCGGTCGCCTCAGTCGGTGAATTACCTAAGGCATTTTATATCAAATGCCGCAGGGAAATTAAAACCTATCACAAAATTATTACGGAATAAGGCCACCGATTTTTCTTGGGTTAGGAGCAACAGAAGGCATTGGAAGAAATCAAGGAGGCCTTGATTAACCCGCCTGTGTTAGTTCCTCCAAGAGGCGACCGACTTCTTCGGCTATATTTGGCGAACAGTTTTGATGTGGTAAGCAGTCTTTTGGTGCAAGAATGGGAAGATGGTAAGGAAAGAGCCATTTATTATTTAAGTAAAACTTTAGCAGGACCTGAGTTGAATTACAGTATGCCCGAAAAAATGTGTTATTCTTTAGTCTTTGCTTGCACTCGGTTAGAACATTATATTCTGCCAAGAGAGATCGAAGTAGTTTCTAAAATGGATTTGGTCAGACTAATGTTGCACAGACCGACCATGCAAGGTAGATTAATGAAGTGGGCTATTAAGCTGGCTCCCTTTGCATTACGCCACCGACCTCTTAAGGCTGTGAAAGGGCAGATTCTGGCTGAGTTGTTGGTTGAGTTTACAAGCGATGGGTCATCAGAAAACAAAAATAATGCCATATATTGGCACCAGTCCTTGGAAAATATTTTTTGATGGTTCCCGTTCGAAAGGAAAGTCGGGAGCAGGGGTAATATTAGAAGGACCAGGAGGCGGCAAAATTAATTTGCAGCTTCAAATGGAAGATATGACACATAACTCCGCAGAATATGAAACACTGATTTCGGGTTTGAAAGCACTAATCTATGGGGATTCTCAACTCGTTATCAACCAAGTATTGAAACGGTACGCTTGTAATTTTCCCCATTTGCGTAGATACTGAGATGTAGTGCTACATTTGTTATATAGAATCGGGGAAGTAGTTTTTGAGCATATACCAAGAGCAGAGAATCAGTTGGGTGATAATCTGGCTTAGAGTGCTTGTCAGCAGTTGATTGGCAGTGTCGATTCTAGGACTGATTGGAGAACAGAGATTATGGTGTATTTGGAATCTCCAAATTCTACCACTCTTGTTCGTATTCGCTTAAAGGCTTTGCGTTTTCAGCTTATTGATGGGATTTTATATAAAAGAACCTTTGAAGGGGTTTTGTTGAGGTGTTTGGGACCTGAGGAGTCTATTAAAATAATGGAGGAGGTCCATGGAGGAGGTCCATGGAGGAATATGTGGCGCGCATCGGGCAGGTTTAAATATGCGATGGGCTATCCATCGTATGGGATTCTATTGGCCGAAAATTTTTGATGATTGTATCAGATTTGCCAAGGGATGTCAAGAGTGCCAGAAGCATGGTCCTTTACATCATTTGCCAACAGTAGATTTGCAGACAATGGTTAAACGTTGGCCATTCAAAGCTTGGGCGTTGGATGTAATTGGAAAAATTCATCTGGCCTCGTCAAAATAACATTCTTTCATTTTGGTGGCGACTGATTATTTTACCAAATGGGTAGAAGCAGTTCCCTTGAAGAATGCGACGCAGAAAGAAGTGATCGAATTCGTACTCAATCATATCATCTATCGATTTGGAATTCCGCACACTCTCACAACCGATCAAGGGTTGATGTTTACTGGGGAAAAGTTTGTTGAGTTTTTGGCCGAATACAATGTTAAATTACACCATTCTTCACCGTATTACCCGCAGGTGAATGGATTGGCCGAAGCAACAAATAAGATTATTATTGGCATTATCCGGAAAATGGTGGAGGAGAATCCAAGAAAATGGCATACTCTGCTATCTCAGGCATTGTGGGCTCATCGAAATAGTAGAAGTACTTCTACTGGATTCTCCCCATACCAATTAAGATTCGGGCAAGATGCAGTATTACCTGCAGAATTTGTCGTGCCTTCACCCAGGGTAACCAGTACAACAGCCTATATCGATGAGGTCTATTTACAAAAGATGTGGCGACAATTGGAAGAGTTAGTTACAGATCGATTGAACGCTTTGGACCAAGTGATTAGGCAGAGTGAGATTAGGGCGAAATATTATGGAAAAAGAGTGGTCCCTAAGTCTTTTGTAGAAGGCGATCTGGTCTGGAAGACAATTTTGCGACCTATAAGAAGGTAGATCAATTGGGGAAGTGGTCTCCCAACTGGGAAGGTCCTTTCATCATTCATAAGGTAATTGGAAATGGAGCCTTTATTATCATAAATCAAGAAGGAAAAATGGTACATGAGAATATTAATGCTAAGTATCTGAAAAGGTATTACCCTGCCTTTTCGGAACTTTGTCATTAATTATTAAAAGAAAAAATATATATATCATAAGAACCCTCCAAAGGGTTCGAACCCATTGATAAAGGGTTCTCTAGTCATCAAAGAGGTTAATGGTATCATCCCAGCCTGCCGAAACCATTTCAGGTTCTTCATCCAGAAGGTCATCCAAATCCAGGCGGTAGCGTTCCCATTTGTCTTGCATGTCTTGAAGATTTTGTCCAGTTCGAGACTTCATGTCTTGCAAGGACTGAATCTCTCTTTCAGCAAGGACACTCAGTCTGGAGAGCGTTGATCTTTGTGGTTGGAAATTGTTGTTCCAACTAAGGTCTGGGAGAATGGCGGTTACATGATGGTTTATCATATCTAGATGGTGGTCGAGATCCGATATGCGTGCAAGTATGTCGGTATAAGGTTCGTAGCTCGTGGATATACGCTCCATCAGTCGGATGGTACGATGAATGG